CTCGCGCTCAAAAAATCCCCCCCAGCCCCCTGCCTCTCTCATGCCCACTGCAAGTGATATGTGCTCTGTGTGTGAGCTCTGGTACAAACAGGGAAGAGTAGCCACAGGGATAGAAAAGAAGAAAAAAAAGAACCTGCTTGGAAGAAGCATTTAGTTAAGTACAATGGAGAAAGACCTTCATCCTTGAGCAGCTTTTCCAGGTAGATCTTGTCATCATAAAACTCCCCCAGAAGCTGACGCTCTGTTTTTTGATTCCTCGCAGGCTTTCGTGTCCATTTTTGGTCCTTAGTCGATTTGAGTTGGAGTTTCTGGTTTGCATTTTTGCTCTACAGTGAAGAAAAAAAAAAAATCAAGGAATTTGGGGAGATCAGTGGGTAACACCAGAATCAGCAGAATTCTGCTTACGCTCCATATGAGCCAACTTATTTTTTAAATAAAAGCAAAAAGTCAGCGTCTCGCCAATTGCTTTGGTCGTGAGCAAGACACTTTGCACCCAGCTGCGCTCCCCAAGAACAGGAGGGGGCACTGGAGTAAAAGCAGGCATCAGCTGTGCCCCAGTTGTGCCCTGGTTGTGCCCCGGTGTCTTGCTCTGTTTGGAGGGCTCTGGTGAGCACTGGGGGGGACGTTACAGCTGTGGGAAAGGCAGGTTCACAGCCAAAGAACCAGAGGGGTTCTGGGTACATCAGGGGGTACTTCAAGGGTTTCACATCCAAAACCACAACAGTTACAATGCTCATCTCAGGCCTCTTTGTAGCAATTATGTTTAGGCCTGAGTAACTCCAGCTGAGAGAAGCGACGAGCATTCACTGCCCTGACCTCAAAGGGAAACGTGGCTTGGCATCTTGGAGGAACAAGGCACCACCTCAACGGACCACTCCAAAATGAAGCAATTGAGAAAGTGTCCACTATCAAAAATGTGAACCTTAAACATCAGGTAAAACCAAGGTCAATATTGTAGATAAAGGTACCCTGGCTCCCACCTCAGAGCTGTTACTCATTAGCCATCGATCAGCATGGCCCAACAGGAACAGTCGGGTGGGAGAGAAATGTCGCTGGGCTTTGTTTCTCCCTGGTTGATCCCCCCGCCCTTCTGCTTTCTCCTTTATTCTTAGCGTAGCTTGAGCCAGAACTACATTAAAAGCCAGTGCATAAATACTCTTAGAACAGATCAGTGTGCTTCCTGTGCTCAGAAAGCTTTTCACTAGACCAGCCGTATCCCCATCCGTGCTGCAGAAACTATGAATCCTTTAATGCCTATTTCAGAACATATCAGCATTATAACATCTGTACTTGGCTTCCAAAGCAAGAGCTCTTCAGCCTGTACCTCTGCCTGCCTGCTTACGAAGCACAGATCCTCTGTATTCTGCAGTTTAACTGAGGATGGACCTGCAAACACAGAGAAAATACTTGTTAGTGTTCAAGAACAGCAGTGCAGAGGCTTTAGATATAAAATGACCATAAATGTGCCAAGCCTATAATGTCCTGTTCAAGATAAAGCTTTCTACTGATTCTTTCATATGAAACACGTGGATGTTGGTGTGTTCTGTAAGCAGGAACATGGCTCACAGACGCAGCTCCTCTCGGGATTCTAATTGCTGTTTTCTCATGGCACCAGGGGGCTCCCATCACATCGCAGATTTCCTACGGAAACAGAGGCAGGAGAAGGGCAAGTTCTGCGAGACCAGAGCTGCAGCCTAAAATACCAGGAGAGCTCATTAGCACGGGGACCTCCAGCAAGCCAGGACTATTTAAAAGGTTTTGTGCACTGACGTTAGGGCACAGCTCCCATGTCATTTTCACTCTGACATCCAGTTCCAGTATTCAGATGGTGCTCTGGCAGAGCAGGTAAGAGTGAAACCACGCTTTGTTTTCGGCTGGTCAGAAGGAAGGAAGGAGGCTGTGTGCTGTTACAGAAGGGTTTCCTTCAGCGGGGCGGCTGGGCCGAGATCAGCAATGCGGGTATCACAGAGGCGTTTCTGGATCTGCCAAGCAAAGCAGGTTCAGGAGAGCAGTGCTGGGGATATGCCCTGTTAATGTGTGCATTTCCCAACTATTTAAACATCTAGATAAAATGCTAACGTGTTTCCTTGCTTCTTTTCCTCTGCATCTAGGAGCTATTGCTTGATTTAAAAAAGTTGTCTTGGTTTTTAAACTTCGTTTGCCTACAGCCCAGATGCTTGAAGGCATTTGAAGCTCTTAGCTCAGTCTATCAAGCATGGCAAGCATTTCAACCGAGAGCTGCAAAGACATCTAGGCACTGGTACTAAGCTAAGAAAGCAGCAGTAATGGAGGAAATCAAGGCGGATCTGGAAACTTTCCTTGTTTTTTAAAGAAATAAAGAATTTTAAATAAATATTCAGGCTTTTAGGCAGCTGGGACGTGAAGTTAATCTGTGACGCTGGAGGTTGACTGAAGTTTTGAAACCAATTTCAGGGTGAGTAAGGCACTTGAATATCCCCAGGCTCAGGCTCCGTGCGTGGGCACGCAGGACGTGTCGTGCCCTGCGCAGGCACTGGCTGTGGCTCCGCTGCGGCAGCTCCTGACCGGCCGGGCGGGTTTTGCAGCACAGGCTGCTCCCTGCACGTGTCCGAGGTGGCAGCCCCGCTGCGGTGTCGGTGTGCTGGGAGCGGGCACGCGTCCTGCCCATGCTTGTCTGCGCATGGAGCGTTGCTAAGTGGAAAACTAAGGGAAAAGGGACGAGTTTTCAGTTTGCTTTGAACATCACTGGGTCCTTGGCCTTTCCTGTCTCCTGCAGGACTCGGTTCTGTGATCTGTGCCAGAAATGATGAAAGCAGTGCTCCATTGCAATAGTCAACAGTTTCACTGCTCTTACGCAATGTAAATTGGAGGAAAGTCAGGATCTCGGGAAGGCCAGTCCCAGGCAGCAAGGCACATTTCATTACGAACCTTGAATATGAGGATAAAGATCTCAAAATGGATTCAGTAATCAGTAGGGCTGTAAGGGGATGAGCTGCTTTGTTCTGTATTACCTAGAACATTTTCATGGTGACTCTGGAAATTTATGTCACGGTTTTCTTATATAATTGTAGTTATTAGACGCTGTGTCTGAATAGACATTCAGCCCAACAAAGAAGAAGAAAAAAAAGAGGAAGAAGAAGAAAAGAAGGAGGCTGTGTTCTTTTTGGTGCTTCCTGGTTTCATCTGACAGCAGCCACTGAGCACGTGAATGCAGATGGAAAGGGGTCCTTGGGTCCCTGGCAGAGCTGATTTGCCATCAGCTGCCCAGGGCACAGCTTCTGGCTGGGTTTGTAGGAGCAAGAAATAAAACATCTTACTTCCGATGCAGTTGACAATCGCCTCCTGGGATTTCTCAATACCCAGCCTGAACTTCTGCAGTTCTGGACGCAGTCTGTAGCCTCGGTGGTAAAACACTAGCGCAAATTCAAAATCACCCATGGTATAGAGTGTCTCAGCTTTTTGGTAAAGTCCCTAAAATGACATTTGGAAAAGAAAAAGGAATAAATAAGAGAGAGGAAAAAAAAAATCAGAGATCTCATTGAATTCCCCACTAAGCAAAAGTGAGAGCCCTGTGCTATTGCAATGTGCACACAACCAAATCCAGCCCTGGATCTGTCTCAGCTGTTTCCTGAGCACCTCTGCTTCTTTGGGGCAATGAAGATGCCACGGGTGTGTTCAGTGTTAGCTGGTTCTGTGCTGTCTGCCAGACCCCGCAGGCCCACACGGGTAAAAGACCAGTCCTCAGCCACCCCAGACCCAGACCACTTTGTGCTGTTTACCTTGGAGAATGTTTTGTCGTTTTGCAGAGAAGCTTCAGCATCTTTCAGAGAATTCTCTGTGTCTCCAAGTTTCAGGTAACACTTGGAGCGAGCAGCCAGGCCATACTTGTCTCCTGCTCTCAGCTTCAGTGCCTGAAACACAGCAGACGTGGGGACATCGTCAGTGCCGGGCTCAACAGCACAGACGTGTCCAGGCACAGATGTGTGACTGAACCTGCTCTGCCCCTGTGTGGGGCTTGATTGTGGGGGAACATCAAACCAGAAGGATAAAGACACCATTTTCACTGCAAAAAATAGTTTTTGATGTTCCCTCTGCTGCAGCCACCCCCTCTCTCCGTGCCAGAGGCCTGACACCAGACAGGGGCTGTACCTCCCCGCGCTGCCCCGTGTGCCACCTCCCTTCGTGCTGTGACCTCCGGGTGCCCTTAAGAACACTTCCCTTCACGCCACCACCTCGGCGGGCCACAT